CACACAGAATGTGCTTTACAATATGAATGATGATTTTAAGTAGAAAGCAGGAAATCACAATAAATAAATAAAGGCTGTAGCTGGTCACATATTTACTCATGCACTCATATATACATACATATGAGTGCATGAGTAATAATAATAATAATAATATAATTTTATTCACTCCCCCACCAACAATCCCTGCCAGACCTGAGACTCGAACCTGCGACCTTTGGGTTACATATCCAACTCTCTAACCATTAGGCCAGTCATGGCCTACGCCAACTGTGTAGTCAGTCTCAATAATCTGGGAGTCTCTCACATATTGATAGCGGCTCCCTGAAGTGAGTTTTTGCAGGCTGGGATGACCCCAAGCCCCCATTAATTTCCCCATTAGCTTCCAGTATAGGTCAAACACCTCCAAACAGTGGTCAATGTGAGCTCTCTGATCTTTCAGTGCTGAAAAAGCCAGGTTTGGGATACTAACCCTGTTGAAAAAAACAGCATATGCTAGTTAGGTATGTTTTGAAGCATGGCAGATGGTTTGAGCTGGTTTAAACTGGTCCTTAGTTGGTCCTGAGCTGGTTTAAGCTGGTCATGTGCTAGTCCTAAGCAACTAACTCCTGTTCAAGACCAGCTCATAACCAACTCAGGACCAGCTTAAAACAGCTGCCATGCTTCAAAACATGATGGTTTCTTCAACAGAGAACGCACACTACGCTGTCTATCTGACACAGCTCTTTCTACACCCTGAAAACTCTTATGCAATCGTAGTGCCAGTTTAGTGTTGTTTGTAAAATTGCAACACACTCCTCAGCTGTCACTTTGAACCATCGGCTGCTGGTGGTTGAGGTCAGGTCTGAGATAAGAGACATCTGATCTAGTGTCGGCCTGAGGAGGCAGGCTCTGTATCCAAGCTGAACCATTTGAGATGTCATGAGGGATGAAGTTGTGCTGAGACAATGTAACCAGAACCTGTTCAGTTAGCGCTGGGCTTTGAGTAAAGGCTCACGGTGTTCTGGTGGCGAACGATTGCAGCAGCTGATAATGAGCAAAATAGGCCAGATATGTTTCCTCCCTCAGAGGACAGCTGTAAACAAACACAAGGTGCATGCTTCTCTGAGTGGATTAGACTTCTGTTCACCTTGAATGTCTCTTGACCATTTAGTAACGAAGAGTACGTATACTCTATGATACTCTGATGCCAAGTGAAAAGAGCCCATCCTCAGGTTTCTGGGGGCCTTTGTGAAACAGAAGTACACTTTAGAATACTTTTAAAAAGAGCGTGAACTGAATATAAATGTTTAGTTGCATCTTAATTAAAATTGAATGTAAATGTATTCTAGTTTAAATGTATATTAAATGCAAGACTTTAAGTCAGACATCTTCATTCATATAATTGCATAATTGTCTTTGAAATACAGTTTTGAAGATGTGTACTGCAAAATGTACTGACAAGCATTTATTGTCAACTAAAATATACTTTAATATCATTCCAGTTAAAATGCGTATGTCATGTATTTAAATATTTTTTAATGGTGATGGCTTGGGGAGTGGCTTGGGCCACTCCCTTTTCCCTGGCTTTCAGGGTGGCTTGGGGAGGGGAGGTATCCAAAGCACATCAACTTGTCACTGGGGTTCCTCAGGGATCAGTTCTTGGACCCCTCCTCTTCTCCATATACACAACATCACTGGGTACCATCATACAGGCACATGTCTTCTCCTACCATTGCTATGCTGAAGACACACAGCTCTATCTTTCATTTCAACCAGATGATCCAACGGTAGCTGCACGGATCTCAGGCTACCTGGCAGACATCTCGGCATGGATGAAAGAATATCACCTACAGCTCAACCTGGCAAAGACTGAGCTTCTTGTCT